GTGGCATATGGTCTGAGGTATAGTTTAAACCACATTTCTGTCAGAATGCTTTCCAGGTTTCACAATAATTTTGTCTAATAGTGAATTCTTGCCCTGCTCGCTCTTGCAGTACTTGGATTTAACAAATACTATACCACTATATTTTGGTATTTCTAGGTCTCATGTACTTCTGCTCCACTTATCAACTTTTGTATTTTTTAAAATACCAGGACCAAATAGTTTTGATGATTGTGATTTGGATTGTATAGTTTGGCTTGTATAGTACAGCTAGGCCCTTGTCCTTTCCACCATTTTTCATTAGTTCCCTTGATATTGTCTCTTCAGAAGAATTTTGTTATTATTTTATCTAGTCCTATAATGTAATATTTTCAATCAAGAAACATTTTAAGTACCTACTATGTGCCAGGAACTGTGCTAAGCACTGGGAAAAGGAGGCAAAAGACAGCCCTTGCCCTGAAGAAATTCACAATCTAATGGAGGAGAAAACAATTATGTACAAACAAACTATGTATAGGATAAATAAGAAATTATTAATAGAGGGAAGGCACTAGAATTAAGAGGGGTTAGGAAAAGGATTCCTGTAAAAGATGGGACTTTATTTGAGACCTAAAGGAAGCCAGGGAAGCCAGTACATGGAGATGAGGAGGGAAAATATTCCAAACATGGAGGACAGCCAGAAAAAAAATGCCCAGGGCTGAGAGATGGAGTATGCTGTTTGTGGAACAGCAAGGAGACCAGTGTCATTGAATTGTGGGGAGTAATGTTCTAAAAAAGAGATTGGAAAGCTAGGAAATGACTAGATAATGAAGAGCTTTGAATGCCAAGGAGAATTTTGTATTTTATTGTGGAGGAAATAGGGAGCCACTGAAGTTTATTGAGCAGGGGGAAGTGAAACAGGTATGCGTCTTCTTTTTGTTGTTCAGTCTTTTTCAGTTGTATCCCGTTCTTTGTGACCCCATTTGGGGTTTTCTTGGCAAAGATACTGGAATGATTTATCATTTTCATCTCCAGCTCATTTTATAGATGGAGAACTGAGGCAAATGGCTAAACTTGCCCAGGTTCACACAGCTGCTAAGTATCTGAGGCCAGATTTTAACTCAAGAAGATGACTCTTCCTGACTCCAGGCCCAGTCCTCTATCCACTGTACCACCTAACTGCCCTAATTGTCTATGTTACCTTTCAACAAAATGCAGTTTCCCTTTTCATCTTTTGGAATTTAAGTCTATTTTTGCTGTTGCCTTGTCTGAAATTAAAATTGCTACCCTTGCTCTTTTGTGCTTGTCTGAGGCATGACAGATTTTGTGCCAATCCCTTATTTTAATTCTGTGTCTTTGTTTCAAGTGTGTTTCATATAAACAACATATTTTTGGATTTTTCTTTCTTTCTTTTTTTTTTATATGAGGCAATTGGGGTTAAGTGACTTGCCCAGGGTCACATAGCTAGTAAGTATCAAGTGCCTGGTCTGAGACTGCATTTGAACTCAGGTCCTCCTGACTCCAGGGCTGGTGCTCTATCCAATGCGCCACCTAGCTGCCCAATTTTTAGATTTTTCTAATTCATTCTGCTGAGCTCTTCCATTTTATGGCTGTTTTCATTCATATTCTGATGGCTGTCTATTTCCCTGCATTCTATTCTCTTATACTTTTTCTTCTCCATACTCCTTGGTCCCTGTTTATTTCAAATCATTTCCCTTTCTTACCCCCCCTCCTTTTAACCTTCTTTTCACTATCTCCTCTTCAAGCTTAAAGTTTGTTTTGCTTATGATGAATGTCTCATTGAATCTTATATCCCTCTTGTGTTCCCTTTCCCCCTCTTCCTGTTCCTGTATGTATCCCTATTAAGTTGAATGTATTTCTACACCAAACCTTCATGTGTGTATATGTGTGTTGACTGAATACTTTCTTCCCACCTTTTTTTTATTTCTTAAAACATCTTCAAAACATAATGAAATTATTTATAGCTCTTCTATCTCAATTGACTACCTCTATGACCCCTTGTGACATTAGGATTATGAAAGAACTCTTTTAACATCCCCCCTTCATTAGAATATAAATAGTTCATCCTTATAAGAATCTTTTCTGATTGTTCACTTGTGCTTACCTTTTTTCTCCTCTTGATTCCCGTATGTGTGTTTCTTTTCTTTTCTTTTCTTTTTTTTGGGGGGGGGGTTAGACAATGGGGTTAAGTGACTTGCCCAGGGTCACACAGCTAGTAAGTGTTATGTGTCTGAGGCCGGATTTGAACTCAGGTCCTCCTGAATTCAGGGCCGGTGCTCTATCCATTGTGCTACCTAGTTGCCCCCCATATGTGTGTTTCAAAGTAAATATGTACCCATTTGTTGTCTCCCCTGATAAAGTGTATGCCCCTTGAGGGCAAGGACTGTTTCGTCTTTGTCCATAGCCTTACACTGTACTGGGCACTTAATAAATGCTCTTTGATTTCCTCTTATGATATTTCTTCTTTTCCTTTTTTAATCTTTTATTCATTATCCATTCCATTCTGTTTGGAAGAAATTTTATGTTCATTTCAGGTGCTTCCATATTCATTTGAATATATTTTTTCTTCTAGCATTTCTGTATCCTTTCCTTAAGCAATATAATTTTTTCATTATTCTTATTTTCTTTGTTCATTTCTTTGAACTTTTTTTAAAAACATTTTTCAAAGGATTCTTTTGGTTTTGCTTTTCATTTTTTGCATTTTTTATTCTATTTTCGTTAGGGATATTGAGAAAGAAGGCTCCCTTTTGACCTTGCCTTCCTCTCTTTTCCTGGAAGTCCCTTTTTTTTTTTTTGGTGAGGCAATTGGGGTTAAGTGACTTCCCCAGGGTCACACAGCTAGTAAATGTCAAGTGTCTGCTTTGAGACACGAGTTGAACTCAGGTCCTCCTGACTCCAGGGCTGGTGCTTTCTGTACTGCACTACCTAGCTGCCCCTGGAAGTCCCTTTTTTGTTGAATTACTGTTTCTAATTACTGCTTCTCTTACAATTATTTTTCTAGTTTCCACTGTCTATGGTATATATTTTGACAAAGATACACACACATATATACACATACATATATACATATATACACATACATATATACATATACATATACATATGTGTGTGTGTGTGTGTCTTTCTCCCTTCCATTTTCATTTAAAGATCTCTTGACCAATTGTCATTAATGACTCCATTCTTGAATAAGAGCCTATATTTTACACCATAATATAAAAATCTATACCTCCTTCTGAGGCACCATTTTCTTAAACAGCTGTTCATTCCCAAAGTCAACTTTCTTTCCTTCAATTGCTCTAGTGATGAAATCACCACATATGACCTTATTACCTTTGCTTTCTTGCCTACAATTTCATAAGCCCTAAAATATTCTCTAGGTTTCTTCTGGTGGTATCATTTGTCCTCACATGACTAACAAGGCATGTGTAGTGGTTGTCAGATTGTACAATATTCAGAAAGTTGCTAGATCCTCACTATATACCCTTGGAAGATAGAATGCCTTTCTATTGCTAATCTAGACTCTTTCTGCTTTGAACTTAATAGATGACCTCTCTTAAAATGCTACCTGTGGAGACATATTCCTTTAGGAATGAGACCAATTTGAACTTTGGGTTTACATAACAGTTACTTGGCATTGGCAAAAAAAGAAACATCAGACATTCTATCCAGGCCACTGCAAAATTCCCTCTGCTCTCTATACTTGCTGGAATTGAAATCCTCTGTTCTATATCACTTTTTTTGGTAGCTTTCATAACCAATTCTCAATATAAGCTGTAACTTCCTGTCAAAGCCCCACTATGAAAAGAAGCTTAGCACAGTTATTGTCTGTGTAAAGGTCTAAAATAGAATTTGATTCTCAGTCACTTTGTACCTCTTCCTATCTCTTCTTATCTGTTCTACTGATGGATTTTAGAAACCTTCTCTTCTGCTACTTCTGCTACTTCTGTTGCTATGGGCACCCTGATAAGCCTTACTGACTTTCTAAAGAGATGACACTAGTTGGACCAACTATTTGTGATTGACAATTAACATTTTTTCTGCCAAAACTCCAATGAAAATGTACTTTATGTCATGTGGGCAGTTGTAGGTGTAGATCTGTTGCTCAGAAAAGAAGTCAGGTCTGGAAAGATATATTTGGTAGTAATCTGCATTAAATTTGTAGTTGAAGCCATAGGAGTAAATGATATTAAAGTCACAGAATTTTATATTTGAATCAGATTTTAGCAATCTCTCCATCTGGTCCAACTCCCTCATTTTACAGATGAGGGAACTGAATCTTAGAGTGAGAAAGAATTGAATTACCCAAGATAGCTAGGAGAACAGAAAAAAGGTAAAGGACAGAATCTTACAGAAGACTCATATTTAGAGATTAGGAAAAGGATGAGGAACTAATGAAGAAGACCAAGAAGGAATAGATAAGAACTAGTAGGATGTGGTGTCTTTAAGAATTTATTAAGCCTCTAGTTTTACACAGTACTTTTAGATATAATATATGTAGAGAAATACATATACAAAGTACCTGTGCTATATTGGAGAGAGATTAATCTAAGCTAGACAGGCTGACATGAATGTACACATATAAGACATACATGTAATGGAATAATGACATTAAGATGACAGAAATAAAAAAAGAAATACATATAGGATTTGTAGATCATTGTATATTAAGTACTGGGTAACAATGTGAAATCTACAATTGGGTTCATATTGGAGAGTAACTATTGGAGTTGTGTATTTTGCTTAAATGCAGTTATGAGTCAATATATGTTAGAAGTCAAAATGGAGTTTCAGAGACTATTCATATCATGATATACTTCTAATAAGAAGTTCTTATTATAAAGCATTTGATCTTCCAAAAGACACTTCCTCCACATCTTCAATTTCCCCCCTTCTCCTTCAGACAGAAGACAACTATAAGCTTTGACAAAACTTGGTAACAAAATTCTTTTGGCATTGTCCTACTGAATAGAAAACAATGGCTTTTTCTTCTGGCTTACTTCTAGATGGAAGATCAGATGCTCCACTTCCTCAGCATGGAGAGATGTTCTCCGATAGAACAGATGGTGCCATGGAAGATGAACATTTTACTGTCCACTTGCCTTCCCCTCCTGACTGCAGGAAGCAGTTACCTGAGATTAGCAAGGGCAAAGACTTCATCCGATGCTTGCCTGTCCACATCTCCAAATACATTTTAGGTAAGTCTATGACCTGCTTTGTAGATATAGTAATCAAGCAAACTCCTCCACAATTAGCCTTACTTGATCCAATTTGGGATTAATGAATCTATCCTATCTTTCAGGGCTTCTAGACAAAAAAACCCTGAACAAGTGTCTTCTTGTAAGCCGGCACTGGTCTATGCTGGTGGAGGAGGTCAAGAAGGATCAAGCAGCACACCAGCATGTTGAGAATGAGATCACACTCCTTCAGGTACTTCAAGCGCTGTCGGGAAAGAATTGGACCCATGCTTAATATTCCTAACTATAAGTAAATTCTCAGGGAGGGGACATGTTGGGATTTCTATCTTCATATCCACCATCTGGTAGATGTTACTATCTAGTATTATGGCTAACAAGGAGGGTCAGAAGTACATTAAAAATTATCTGTCTCTTTTTTAAAAAACTCAATTCTCCCATCATAACCATCAGCCTCTCAGAGTGACCAGTCTCCATCAGGAAGTCTTGATAATTGGTGGACAGGGTTCTTTAGCTTTCAGAAACCTCATAGAAATTATTTTCCCTCCTAAGATAGGAGAAAAAATACAGTGTAGATTGTGTAATAAGAGGATGATAAATGTTCAACTATATCAGTTTTATATGATATGCATTTGATCTTTATAGACTACAGTCTATTTAGAAGTTAAAATGTTTTTTCTCCCCTGATGATTGTCATTTCTTTGGTTTTTTTTTGTTTGTTTGTTTTACTTTTTAACCATTTATCCTATTCTAAAACCTTAAATAATTCACTCTTGGTAAGCTGAATGTCCTTTAAAAGAACTAAGTATGAAAAGGTAACCTTGGATTTGAGTGAGGTTCCCATATAGATGGCCATCAGGAGTCTTTTCTAGGCCAGTTTTGAAAACATTATTCCAGGCAACTGACTGCTATGTTCTGGGTGTTGCCTTTGCTATGCCATAAAGGAGAATAAGATACTAAAGATAATGTTATTTTGTTCTTATTTCAGGAGACCTATTCTAAAGGGCTGTACCCTAACTATGCCAGCAGACCTGGAATACCAGTTCCTAAGATAGATGAAGATGATAAAACTACTCACTCAAAAAGTTCAAAATGGAAACTGAAATCAAAGGTGTGTGACATCTGGTTGAGATGTTTGTTTTGTATTTCATTTTGTCATCAAAAACTAGATTAAAAATTTCTATGGGGAGGCAATGGAGTGAATTGGAAAATCGCTGGAATTAGTTAGTATACCTTTGATAATTGTTATTGCCACAAGCCAGCTCTCTGAACTCAAACTTCACTTCCATAGACTTGATTCCTCATTTTTAAATGAATTAAACTGCAATATTTGATACATGTTTAGAAAACAAGTATATGATAATAAGTGACATTTACATAGTAATTTATATATATTATCTCATTTGAACCACACAATAACCCTTTTTGTGAGACAAACATTATTGTTGCCATTTTATAGATGAGGAAATTCGGGCTCAGCAAGGTTAAATTATTTGCCCAATTTCACACAACTAATAATAAATATTGGAGGTAGGATTTAAAGCAGCAAAAGAGATCCAAAACAAGAAGCAATGCTAACATAAAATTAAGATTATTCTTAATCTCCAAAACAGAAGCCCACTGGTTGGTAAGTCCACAAGAAGTTGCTTGTCTGCACAAGTATAAGGAGTCATTTGTTTATTAGTTCATTTATTTAATAAATATTTATTATTTACTATATATGCAATGCACTAGAGTTGACACTAGGGGTAAGTACAAATATAAATAAGAAATAATTCCTGTCTTCAAGGAGACTATATATATATATATATATATACACACACACACACACACACACACACATATATATATGGGTGTGGGTGTGTGTACATATATTATATATATATATATATAAATAACTGAATATGGTATGTGTATAGAAAAGATACATATATAGAGGAATAAATACTTGAACTACACCAAAACTACAAGTTTTGTGTGAGCTTTGTGGCAGGTGTCACAGTGGATAGAGTTTGGATTTTCTGGACTTGGAATCAATATCTTAGTTTAAATATGGTCTCATGTATTTACTAACTATATAACCTTGGGCAAGTCATTTAACCTATATGTCCCTCGGTTTTCTCATCTGTAAAATGAGAGTGTTAATCACAGCATTTACTTCACAAGGTTGTTGGGATCGAATATAGTATGATATGTAATAAATGTAAAATGTTTTACAGACTTTAGGGAACTATATAAATGTTATCTATTATTATTGTTAATGTAAAACCACCCTATACACCTGATGTTGTGTAGGTGCACTTTTAGTGTGTCAAATTTTAAACTGGAAAAATAGCAAAATGCAGGTTGAAATGGGAAATGGAGGAGAGGCAACAGCAGAGACAGTCAGTAAATAGGATAACTAGCAGATGGAAACAGCAGCAGCAGATATGACAGTGATGACCAAATAGGAGAAAAGATGCTATACACAGACCTGGCATGACATTCCTGGACTCCAACATCCTTTATAGAACTTTATGGTGACTTTGGATCATAGCCAAAGGCTTCGGTATGCTAACATGAAGTGATCTTTACCATGCTGAGTAAAGAATGAAAGGTAGGTAGCTGCCTAGTGTAGTTCAGACTTCAAGTTGAAGCACTAATCCATTGCTTTGAACTTATGTGTCCTTCTCCCATTGTGTAAACAACAGAGGAGAAATGAAATGAGATTTGCCTCAGAGTCTCCCCTGGAGTCATATGGGGATGGTTGGTGAAAACAACTAAAATCTGTTCAACTTCTAGAATATTATCATGTTATTAAATTATCTTTAAATGTTGTTTTGCTTTAAATTCATGTCATCTGCCATGGTCTAGCAGAATATTTAGATGAATCATTATAGGTTCAAGGGAGGGAAAGGTGACTCTCTAGCAATCTTAAGTTTTCCCCTACTTTGTGGGTATTGAGAGTTATACTAATACCAGGATGGTGTTATGCAAGTTTAAAATAGTGCCATGGAAAGAACAATGGGTTTGGAGTCAGAAGAACTGAATTTAGGCCCTGATTTTTCCACTTAATAATACAATGTGTATTCTGGAACAACACAAAGGTGTTTCGGTTTTCTTATCTATAAAACATAAACCAGGCATGGTGATGCATGTCTGTAATCTCTGATACCAGGAAAACTGATGCTAGTGGTTAACTCTCACTTGAAATGTCTGAGCTGAAGTGGACTAAATGGATCAGATATCTGCACTAAGTCCAGCACCAATATGCTGAGCCGCTGGGAGTGAAGGGCCACCACGCTGCCTAAGAAAGAGTAAATTGGCCCAGGTCAGAAACAGAGCAGGTCAGGGTTCCCACGCTGATCAACAGTAGGACTGGGTCCATGCTGCTGTATTTCCAGCCTGAGTGAGATAGGGAGACCTAGCTAAGAAAAAAAAAGGTAGAGGAGAAGAAGAGTATACTAAATAACCTCTAAATTCCATTCCTGTTCTAAAGCTATGATCCTATGATTCTGCCTTTTGTAATGCATAATAGGCATTATATAATGACTAATGTAATTAGTATCCAGTTGGGTAAAGAAAGGTTAGATTCAATCCTGGAAATTTATCAATAATTACATCTCTGTGGCTCTTTTTGCCACCTACCTAAAGCCCCCCTGAGAACATCAGAATTTTGTTCTTTTCTAGCTCTCATGTGGATAAGCATCAGGGAGCAGTGAATTCGGATTAGGGAAGGAGGTTTGTACAATCCCATTGGGGGTTAAAATCAATGGGAAGGGGTGCATATAAGATGATAGGAGTGTGGTAGTCATTGAGGAATGAGGCTAGGCAGAGTATAATTTGATTAGAGGGAGGTTTTTTTGAGGGAGGCATGAGATTAAACTCTACAGGTTCTTTCCTGATGTGAATCCCAGGAAGCCTGCTTCAGAATAGGCAGGAGCAAGTGGAAATATGGAAACTTGGTCAGGAGGCCAGTGTGTCTTGCTTGATTTGGAGAGGGCCTTGGGAGGCAGAAACTAGAGTTGGTCTCGTCTTCAAAGGGTTATTTGGGTGTGGTGCTGGAAATAGTCCAGGGCAGGATCCGACCAAAGCAGATGGTAGACAGTAGAGAGGAGTTGATAGGAATCCAGTGTGTGGACATGTGGGGATGAGCAGGAGATGCCTTTTTTAAAAAAAAAGTATTTTTTTCCAATTACATGTAAAAATCTTTAGCATTCATTTTTTAAAAATTTGAGTTCCAAATTCTCTCTCTCCCTCCTCTCCACCCTGAGATGGCAAGCAGTTTGATACAGGTTATACATGTGCAGTCATGCAAAACATTTTCATATTAGTCATGTTGTAAAAGAAAACAAAGAACAAAAAAAACCCAAACCAAAAAAAAAAAAACCACCTCAAACCCAAACCCAACAACTCAAGAAAAATAAAGTAAATATTTATAGCAGCTCTTTTTGTGGTGGCAAAGAATTGGAAATTGAGGGCATGCTCATCAATTGAGGAAAGGCTAAACAAATTGTAGTATGTGATTGTGATGGAATGCTATTGTGTTATAAAAAATAATGAGCAGGATGCTTTTCAGAAAAACCTGGAAAGATTTACATGCACTGATACAAAGTGAAGTGAGCAGAACCAGGAGAATATTGTACATAGTAACAGCACTATTGTGCTATTATTAATGACCAACTGTGAATGGCTTAGTTATTCTCAGCAATACAATGATCCAAGGAAATTCCAAAGGCCTCATGATGAAAAATGTTATCCACTTCCAGAGAAAGCACTGGAGTCTGAATGCAGGTTGAAGCATACTTTTTTGCTACATGTCAACCAAGGGTCAAGAGCAAGAAAGGAGGTAGCTTAGGGTGGTAATTTCGGTGGGTAGGAGCTCTGAGCACTATTGTAAATATTTTTGAATGCTAAAATGGGTAGGTTCTCAAGATAGAACTTTGGAGTTCTATTACACAAAAAGTTAGAAAATACTATCATACTATCATAATATGATCTTATTACTGTAATACTATCTTATTATCATAATAATACTATCTTATTGTCGTAAATACTATTTTACTATCGTAAGATGAATCCCATTAGTTTTCTAGCTAGGGACATTCCAAATAGAAGTCTGTGATTTTTTTGTGAAATTCTTTGAGCACCACTTGTTTATGTAAATTCATGGTGATAGCTCCAGATAAAGTCATTAAAAGAGAAAGTAGGTGAGCAGGTTAATATAGTTGATATATGTCTCTAAGGACATTCTGTGGTTCTGTGTTTAGGAGGATCCTTAGCTTTTGATTCTGATCTCATTTAGGATAACCACAATGGCTTCAGTGGGTCTTTACTGACTTCTTACCAGCTGAAGTCCAACAAGTCCTTCCTAATTCAATCAATATGGACCATCAGTGTGGTATATTCTTGTAACAGCAAAGACTTTGCCAAAAGGGACCTAAAAGTCTTAACCTTCTTTTAACCTTTAGTTTATCCTTTGTTAGGTTGAATACAATATATGGGCAGCATACCAGGGTCAGGAGACTGTAACAGTCCAAATGGAAGAGAAAAATGTCTTTTGTGGCAACTATAACATCCGAATCCTTTCTGACAGGTATGTACTCAGGCAAAACATATTCCTTTGAATACAAGCAACTCCAAACACTATCATTTCTTCAGAGAAATAAAGTAGAAAATATATATACACATAAGCCTTGGGCATGAAGCATTTTAGGAATGAGGGTGAGAAAAAACATTGTAACAAAAGGTTAAAGAAGGGAAACCAACAATAAAAGTATAAAATTCAAGTATAGATACAAACAAGCCTTGAGTGAGAAGAATTTAAGTAGTTTCCTTGTCAAATCCAGAACTTTTTGAAAACAAATGTATGCACATCAGCTGAAAAAAAATGCATTTTCCTGGGGAAGGTATCCATATATTTACAATGGTCATAAATTCATATTTTGGACAAGAATGTATCATAAGAACTAGTGATAGTGTTTGGATTTATAAGCTTCTCAGGGGCAGGGACAGCTTTATTTTTGTCTTTGTATCTCGAGTCTAGTGTGGTATCTGGCACATAGAAGGAACTTCATAAATGCTTGTTGATTGATTTGGAGAACTCTCTCTTTTCCTCCTCAGAATTTTCTCTTAGTCTTCAGAATTTCATTCTTGAGAACTTCTTACTCTTCTTGGGCTGCCTTTTTAAATCCTTCTTTGTCTTTATATTTAACCCTTTCTTCTATTTTTCAGGTAATACTTTATTGTCCCTAATAACTGGAGAGTGCAGAGTGGAGAGAAGTTCCTCAAACCTCTTAAATTTTTCTTCTAGGAGGGAGACAGGGGGTAACTGGAGCATTTAGTATTGACTTGACTGTGGCACAAAGACAAACATGGAATACTCTATACACAATTCTCCCCAAATTTTCTTGTTAGTAGTTTTCACAACCAACTTCCCTGGAGAACTTCTGAGACAAACTTCTTGTAGGGTTTTTCAACTTCAGAATTGTCACTCTCTGCATTTCCTTAGCACTATGGCAGCCATACCCAACTTTACCCTCCTTATCTTACCTACTTCTTACTCCTGCTCTCCATTCCCTTTGTTCCTTTTCCTCCTTTAATTTGAATCTTAAATGCCTTTCATATTCCTTCCTATTTTCTTCTCCAGTTCAAGTTCTTTTTTCTTGATGAAACTCACTTCCTTGAGAAGCAGTGTGACATAATGGATAGATGCTGGACTAGATGCTGGACTTTTGGTCAAGAAGGGCTAGGTTTGAATCCTGCCTTTGACACAATTTAGCAGTTTTACTATTAGCAAATAATTTAACCCATTTGAGGGTCAATTTCCTCATCTCTAAAATGAGGACTACTTTACAATAACACCTGTAGTGCCTATTTCACAGGGTTGTTGTGAGACTCAAATGAGATATATAGAGTGCTTTGCAAATTTTAAAACATTATATAACTATCATTGTTGTTGTTGTTATTATTATTATTATCATCACTATGAATGTTCAAATCATAGGCTAGATGACCAGTTTTTGGGAAGTGCTGAAAAGGGTCTTCCTGTATCAGCAAGTGGGGTGCATGACTCTTTAGGTGCCTTTTAATTTACTTTTTATTACATCTTGGGATCTACAGGATACTTGTGTCCTTTTTAGGATATATAAACATAATTATTTCCCTTGTAGACTTTGTGACATTGCAGAGGAGGGATAGAAGCAATAGAGATGGTGGAAAGGTAGGGGGCAGATGGCATACTTGAAATATGGAAATGGAACTGTTTCTACTTCCACCAGATTTTGGAGGCTGCTTTTATGCTTTATGCTGTTTCCTTCTGATGGGTAAGACCACAGCACTTCTAGTTAGACAGTCATCAATACACATTGGCATGTCCTCTCCCTTATGATTAGTACTAATCTTATGGAAGGCATAGATTTTCCCAATTATTTCATTGATCAAATTCTTTGCATTAAAGTCATTATTCTCAAGTATTTCCCTTCTCCTTGACAACCTTTGCAGTGCTATATTATCACTGCTATCCTTTGCAAATAATGTTTTTTCCCCCTTTAAATCAAGATGGGACAATTCCAGGGTCATTCACTTTTGTGGTGGAAAATTTGTTGCAATGACTGTCAACCGAAAGATATTGCTGCTGGACATTAATCAAATACACGATGTGCCCACTTATTTTCGAGGACATGCAGGGAGTGTTCAGGCACTCATACTCTGTGAGAAAGAATCTTTCGTACTGAGTGGAAGTTATGATTTGAGTATCAGGTAAGTGGTTCCAGTGATAATAAAACCAACAACCTTTCTGTGTCCAAATCATTCTCTGGTGGCAAATTTGGTGCTGAGATAGATATTTATTCTTTCAGAATACTAGAGTGACTTGAAGTATACTATAGTAGGCTCTAAGGAAATGCAGCTAACTAGTTGATACATTGTGAGATAGCTAAATATGGAGACTTTCGAAAACATCAGATAGGAAAAATTGGATTTCCACCTTGAAACTGAATAATAATGGCTTCCATTTATGTAGTGCCTAATAACTAAACTGCACTTTCCTATGCATCATCTCATTTGATGAGTCCCAGTGAATATTTACAGTAAATGATAAAAATGTTATTATAACTATTTTACAAATGAGGGAAGTGAGGCCCAGAGAGATTTGTCCAAGATCACATAGCCAGTTAGTGGAAGATGTGAGACTATAAACTAGGTCTTCTACTTAAATGAACTGATGCAAAGTGAAATGAGCAGAACCAGGAGAACATTGTACACAATAACAGCACTATTGTATGATGGTCAACTGTGAATGACTTAGCTAATCTTAGCAATGCAATTGCAAAGACAATTCCAAAGGACTCATGATGAAAAACACTATTCACCTCTAGAGAAAGAACTGATGGAATCTGAATGTAGATTGAAGCGTATTTTTTTTTACCTTTATTATTCTTGTTTTTAGGGTCCGTGTTTTCTTTTGCATCATGGCTAATATGGAAATGTTTTACATAACAGCACATGAGTAATCTATATTAAATTATTTGCCTTCTCATTGGGGGGAGAGAAAGGGAGGGACTTAAAATTGAAAAAAACAATTACTAAAAATTTTGTTTACATATAATTGAGAAAAAATAAAATAAAAATGAAGTCCCCCCCCAAAAAAAAGAAACCAGTTCTTTTGATTCCAAGCTGAATACCCTTTCCATTTCAGTGTGAGAGGACAATACAATACAGAACTCAAATTCTGTCAGGGGCAAGTGAAAGGACATAAGATCATAAAGTTGAGAGTGATAAGGGACATTGGGGAATCATCTCATCTAATCCTCTCTTTTTACAAATGAGCAAACTGAGATCCAGGGAGGTTAAGTAACTTGCTGAAAACTATCTAGGGCAGTAGCAGCAGGTTTTTCTGACTCCACATTGAGTGTTATTTGTTTCTATACCAATTGATGAGGCCATTCATTTTCTTTCAAGAATGAAGTTACTAATATTTGCCCTTACTCCCTTTTCTAAAATATTGTAAGAGTTTACAAGAAGCATTTGGAGCTTTTTTTTTTTTTTGGTGAGGCAATTGAGGTCAAGTGATTTTCCCAGGGTCACACAGCTAGTAAGTGTCATGTGTCTGAGACTGGATTTGAACTCAGGTCCTTCTGACTCAAAGGCCAGAGTTTTATCCACTGCACCACCTAGCTACTCCCTTAATTGGAACTTCTTAAGAGAAAAATTTGTAGTGCTACAGTTATTGTCTGAGGATCAGATTCTTCTCAAGCCAAGACCTTAAACATTAAACTTATTATTGATAATTCAAGGGCTCTGCCAAACTATCAGCCTAAAGAAACTGACTGAATATTGTCTTATAAAATCTTAAAAATGTTATTTTTTGGCTTTATTTCTGCAGATATTGGAACACTGAATCTGGGCTTTGTACAAAAATCTTTAATGGCCATACAGGCACCATCACTTGCTTGGATTTACATGAGAATAAACTTGTGTCAGGATCAAAGGACTGCCAGGTGAAAGGTCAGAAATACATATTTTGAATTGGTCTTTCAAAAATTTTTCTAAATCTTGTGTTGTCATAATACTTTTAGGCCTGTCAAATTTGTACGGATCCTTCCATTCTCTCATTGATTGATTGATTCAACAAATATCAATTAAGCAATGATTTTGTGCAGCATTCTGTGGGAGGACTGCGAGAGGTACAAAGTTTAGATAAACACAGTCCTTACTCTCATGGAGTTTACATTTTAGTAGGGATAGAAGTTAGATATAGATAACTATAACATGTAATATTATTTGGTACATGAATAATAACATTGCAAAACAAGGTGCTATAGATTCATAGAATCATAAAATTTTAGAGTTGGATTTTGTAGTTACTTATCATCCTCCAAGGTTTGCATCATAACTGGTATAGGCATATACATGTACATGTCATACACAATTAGGAATACATCTTATGATGTGCAGGTTTACTTCTAATTTTTCTTTTCCCCAAACTTGCTTACCTGGCCATAGTTATGGCCATTTTGGAGGGTAAAATGGAAATGACTGGAGGTGTCAGGGTAAAGTCATAGACCCCGGGAGGGTAGGACAGGACTTGGGAACTGAACAAGGAATGGCAGAGGCATGTGCCTTAGCATTAGGCTTCTCAGGTTGGGACATGTGGCACAAGTTGAGAAGATAATCATAGAGTTTTAGTTCTGGAAGAGATATTAGAGTCTACCTCCCCCATTTTAGGGGATAAGGAAACTGAAAACCAGAGAAGCTAAGTTATTTGCCCAAGGTCACACGGTTAATAAACGCAAGAGTGAGACTTGAAATCTAGTCTCCTGATTCAGAACTCAATTTTTGTTCCACTAATTCTCACTGTCTTTCTGAAGTCCCTACTGTTCAGCTTACCAAAAATAGAGTATAAATTTTAATTTAAAGCCCAAGAATTATGGATTTTGTGGGTGTTGCTTTAGTCCAGGGTTCTTTTTATAGGAAAGAAATTAATTTGATCTTTGTTTTTAAAATATTTATTTATATCTCTTGGCTTTTTATCACCTTAATTTTCATATTTATTGTTTCCCATACCCTGGGAGGCATTCCTTGTAACAAATATTTTTTAAAATAAAGAGAGAAAAAAGTAGCTCGGGAAAACCAATGAACACATTAACACCTGAATAAATCTGAGAGGACATGCAATATTCTTCACTCACAATCATCAAAGAAGGGAGAAAGATGCATTTTTTTCAGCTCTTCTTCAGTGAAGCTTGGTCATTATAATTATAAAAATTCAGTTTTGTTGTTGCTGTTGTTGTTTTCCTTTCCATTTTCATTGTTGTAGTCATTGTGAATATTGTTTTCCTGTTTCTGCTTCCTTCATTTTGTACGTCTTCCAATATGCATTTCAGTGGACATCATACTCATTATTTCTTGGACTACAGTAATATTCCACTATATGTGTATATAGGCATTCAGTCAGTTAGTCAATAAATATTTATTAAGCTCCTGCTATGTACCAGGACCTGTAAAAAATGGGATTTTCATTGGGACATGAAGGAAGCCAGGAAAGCCAGTAGGCAGAAATGAGGAGGGAGGGCATTCCAGGCATGTGGGACAATCAGAGAAAATGTTCAGAGCTGAGAAATAGAGTATCCTGTTCAAAGAACTTGCAAAAAGAACAGTGTCACTGGATCAAAGAGTGTGGAGTAAAGTGGAAGAAGACTAGAAAAGTGGAGAAGGTGGGAAGGCTAAAGTAGTTTGTATTTGATCTCGGAGAGACAAGAAGCCACGGGAGTTTATTGGCTGGCAGAGTGGGGAAGGGGAGGGTGTAACATGGTCAGACCAGAACTTTAGGCAAATCACTTTGGCAATTGAATGGAAAATAGATTGAAGTGGGGAGAGACTGAAGGCAGGCAAACCCATCAGTAGTCTATTGCAGTAGTGAAGCAATGAGAGCCTACAACAGGTTGGTGACAGCATCACAGGAGAGGAGGCATATTCAAGAGATGTTGCAAAGTTGATATCAATAGGCTTTGACAACAGATTGGATATGGGGGATGAGAGATAATGAGGAACCAAGGATGACACCTCAGTTGCAAAGCTAAGGGAGTGGAAGGATGGTATTTTTTTTGATAGTAATAGGAAACTTTAGAAGGCAAGAGTGTTTAGGGGGAAACATGAATTCAGTACTGGACATATTGAGTTTAAGATGTCTATTGGTCATCCAGTTTGAGAGAGGTTAGGGCAGAATAGATAGATATGAGAATCATCAACATAGAGATAATAATTAAATCCATGGAAGCTGGTGAGATCACCAAGTGAATTAGTATAGAGGAAAAATAGAAGAGGGCCCAGGATAGAACCATATAGGACACCTGTGACAAGAGGCATGACTTGGATGAGGATCCAGCAAAGGAGACCAAGAAAGGTCCTGAACCTGAAGGTCACACCTGAATGATCTGACAAAATGAAGAACCAGGAGAGAGTGGTGTTCCAAAAAACTAGAGAGTGGCGTATCAAGGAGTAGGAGGTGAACAATAGCGTCAAAGATTACAGTATTTTTTTTCATTTTATGGTGTGACTTTTAATATTCAGTTCATGTGGCCATTTGAGAATATTGTGGTATAAGATGTTGGTCTGAACCTAATTTCTGCTTTCCAATTTTTTCAGAGATGTTGTAAAATAAGAAGTTTTCCCCCAAGTAATTTAAATTCTTTATTGAACACTTAATTATTGAGTTCAATTTCTGATTTTTTTTCCACTGATGTACTTTTCTCTTTTATATCTAGTACTAAATAATTTTAACGATAGCTACTTTGCAATATAATATGAAGTCTAGAAGTATTATTACCTCTTCATTCTCGTTTTTAAAAAAATCTTTTCCTATGTTTAATATGATTGTATATGTATAGCCTCTATCAGATTGCTTGCTGTCTTGGAGATGGGGGAGAAGGGAAGGGTTAGGAGAAAAAAATTTGGAACTCAAGATCTTATAAAAATGAATGTTGAAAACTATCTTTACATATAATGGGGAAAGATAAAATGCTATTAAATGGAATAAAAAAAGTTTTTCCTTTGAGATTCCAGACCTTTTGTTCCTCAAAGTGAATTTCATTATTAACATTTATATAGTACTTTCAGGTTTACAAAGCATTTCATATTCATATATACATATATATATATACATATACACACACATATATATATACACACACACATATATATATATATACACACACATACACACACATAAATATTTCATTTAATCCTCACAGAAACCCTGTGAGGTTATCCCAATTTTACAGATGAGGAAACTGAGGCTTGGAGAGGTTGTGACATTCAGACATGACAACATACTATCTGTTACACAGACAGTAAATGTCTGAGGAAAGATGTGATCTTTCAAGTCAAGTCTTCCTGACTCCAAGTTTGAAACTCTATTCATTCTACTACCTAAGTGCTTATTATTTTATCCAACTCTGTAAAGTAGTTAGGTACATAAAGTAAGTATAAAATTATTCTGAGAAAAAGAATAATGTTGCCATGAAGGCAAACCATGTTACTGTCTAGTTCTTGACATTTTTTAGCTTTATGAACACACAGATATGTTTTGCATTAAATATTTTGTTTAAATATTGTATTAAATATTTAATATATCTCTAAGTCTGTGAATTATTTTAGGCTGTAACATCATTTTTATTATATTGGCATGGTTTAACCAATGCCAATATGGCAAACAATGCCAACATCGGCATTGAACAGCTTTCCATCTGTTTAAGTGTTTATTGCTTCAAGGGTGTTCAAGGGTTGAACAATCAGTCTTCTGGTTTCAGTCCCCTAACCCCCATTCTCACAGGCAGATTGAGTTCCCTGTGGTTGGCTGGCTACTTCTCTCTTTGGGATTCTAATGTCTAGTAATATAGCTCATGAATCTTTATCGACCTCGTTGATTACCAGCCAGTCAGACTTATTTAGCTTCTAGAAAAAGGCATTTATTGAGATGGTATAGTAAGGACAGTTGGTACAAAAAATTGTCAAAAGTCTGTAACATTTCCCTTTGCACATACAAAGGTCTCTGTGAACCTTAGAAAATATATCCGGTTAAGGAATCCTGGTTATTGGATGTCTTATTCTCCCTTCATGGAAGCGTCATGAAGTCCCCCCCTTTTGTAGGTTTCCACTGGACTCCCAAGGTCAGTGACCTTATAGAGTTTGGGACTTGAAGGAGGAGACAGAAATTCTCTTTCTCTGCCCCCTCCCAAGTGATATTTTTTAAAATCAGGAATTTGGCTGTAGTGCTTTACTAGGCTGGTCTTTATTGGAATGATGGATTCTAAACTGGCTTGCTTTTTTATGCAGAAGCCATTTTCTCGGTGGAATCATTTGTTTTCATTCAATTTATACCTACTTGACAGCTCTGATTCATTGACTGAATCTATACTTCCACCAAAGAAGTAATTTCACCTGATAATGACATCAGAAATTATAATCTTTGTAAGTTATATTAATTAGGACTGGAGGGTATGGGATAAACATGTGTCTTAAGTATGTCTTGGTAGAGCAACTGCCAGGTACTTTATGCATTCTGTAGTCATTTTGAATGGATCTTTCCTTTCTATTACGCCATCCTAGATTTTGTTCTTGCTATTTAGAAATGATGATTTTTGTGGTGTTACTTTATTTTTCCTTCCATTTTACAGACATTATTAATAGAATCAATTAGTTTTCTTCTAGGTGCTCTGAAATTTCTAAATAAATCTTCATATTATTAGCAAGTAAGAATAGCTTTTCTTCACTTAGCCCATATCTACGCCTTTAATTTTTTTTCTCTAGTAATTGCTAGAACATTTAGAACTATGTCAAATTATGAGGAAAGTGAACATCTTGCTATATTCCTGTATTTATTGGGAAAGTGTCTAATGTTTCCCTACAGCAAATAATAATGTTCAGTTTTGCTGGATATTACTCTTGATTATAAGCCTTTTTTTCTTTTTGCCTTTTGATATATTTTATTTGAAGATTTCCTTTCC